AAAAACAATAAGATCAACTAGTAATGAACTGATTTAATATAACGAAATAACTACAATAAAACAGTACAGTATATGAACGGGAACATAAAATAGTGACAATACATAAACATTTACTACATGAAATTATTGATTTTAATTTAGTAACAGAATGATACAGCAGAGAATACGACCTAAACGAAAATAGCCCAAACATTAATATTTTCACCAAAAAATTATAAGTATAATAATAAAACAGAAGCGCATATACCTAATGAATATAAGAGATGTTTAACAAGTCAAATTTTAATAAGGGGAATTAATTTTTAATAAGGAAATTAATGTTATAGTTATTAGGGGGAAAAAATACTTGGAACAGGAAATCTGTAACGCGAAAAAAATTTTTTCGGCTACTAGTGTCGCAGCGTAATAAAACTGTAAAAACAATCTTCATAACCAGCATTTTGTAAGAGGAAAAGACAAGACCCTTCCTTTTTAACAGTGAATGAAGTTGTTAATTTCATACTTTTTCAGGATTTCATCACGTAACGAAATTTCAGCACAGAAGTTTATAGAAGAAATTCCTCCAGTGCAAGTCCTTCAACTTGTCCTCAAGCAGTTCACCTTTAAAGAGGTAAAAGACAACCGTTTTTTGAAAAAAAACGTTTTCATATTTGCTTTATAACAATAATGTTCTTCTTCCCAAAATACGAATCGGATTCTGCAAAGAAATTTACGTGTGCGGTTACTTGCTGCAAAGGTATTATGATGTGCATGGTAAATGTCAGTAATATTTTACGGCAAATACACAGGGGCAATATTAGAAGACAGACATAAGAATTACAAATAGTGAGTAGAATGAACATTGGTGCAAAATCAGTAAAATTTTGAACTTCTTTCTGGCTCTCGAAATAATAATTTTTCGCGAGGTCATACGTGGGTAGAAGACATCAGATTCCCAACTTCTGCGGCACCCGAGATAATAATTTTCCCCGCCGAAACTTTCATGGAGTCGTAAATGATACTGGGCGTGCGGGAAGGCTGAATTTAAACTTGCGGGATTGTATGGCCGTAAAATTACATAAAATTTTAGCTTAATAATAATAATTTACCCTACGAAATAATAATTTACCCTACAGGGCCATACGTGTTACCCGCGGATACGGGGATGCCGAATTTAAATTTGCAGAGTCACACGTTGGTCGGGAACATTACCTCAAATTTTAAGCTTCCTAGCTTTTGTGATTCCCGAGTTGAAAGTTGCGGACAAGTTGCTGCAGACACACACACACACACATATATACACATAGACAACCCCATGACAATATGCTTTTGTACTGCTATTATACAGCACAAAACGCGTGAAAAGAAAGGCGTATGGTGCCTGTGTCAGATATTCACCCCCTCCCCCATCCCCTCGCCCCCACAAGGATCGGTAGTGCAGTGGCCTAACATTTAGCACCTTGACGTGAAGTGTTTCAATTCCCCCAGTCTGTACTCAGTCACAAAGAGGACTCTGTTCACAACACATTTTAGATAGGCGAATTGCGACAAGTTCATCCGCACTGGGATGAGCTGTGCGGACAGAAGCTGAACAGTGCATACTACGAGTTAACCAAGAAAGCGGACAAGCTACTGACCGACTGCCAACGACGTGTACATTCTGAGCCCCGTCTCCACGACGCTCTCGCAATCCTGACCAGTGTACAGGTGCATATACTCAATCCTGTAGATGTACTGCGCGCGGCAATGGATGAAGGTTTGTGATTATTTCTCAAACACTCTAGTCCAACTTATCAAGCGTTTTTGAAGGAACTATCCTGAGGCGGGTACTTTGGAAAAAGTTTGTTTTTCC